CCGTAAGTATTTTCGCGCATTGACTCACCTGAACTGCAATACATCAGGGTCCCTCGCCAATTGAGTGGGTAAATGCTTTGAATTTCATATCGTTCGTTACATTTTTGATTTATCTATTCTGGTGCCCCCCCCCCAGATCCTTGTTCGGATCAGTTCAACAAATATAATAATCAAGTGCTTTATTGACTTGGTGGATCAGCATAGATCCTGTAACCATTTACGCAACCTGTAGTCAGTCAGCAACATCAATTATAAACGCCACCGTACGGTAGTAATTGGATACATCTCCCTGAAACATGTTGTCGTTTTTACGCTTGATAGATGTAAAATTAGGTTGTGAGAAGAAAATCATACTATGAAAGCAATGTTCGACAATTCTCATTACTCAACGTCTTCGTTTAACAGGCTTAAGGAGTAAAACATTGTTGATTAACTACCAGTGATCGGCAGTCTATCAATTGTCCGACTCTGTACTGCATGTATCTTATTGGATCTTTGTACCGTTGACCACCAAACAGTGGCCACTCGATGGAATCACGGCGATAATCTCCAGTTTCAGTTTTTACAACCAATAACCATGCACTTTCGTGCGCCGGTTTTGATTGCTGTCTTTTGGTTCCCCATTTGGATAAAACAACAGAATGCTGACTCGAATGTTGTATGTAAATTCAAGCGGAAGATGGAGAATCCATTTAGAATAGTGTGAGGGGAATAATGAGTGGATTCACGAGCGCCACTGTTTACGACATCCAGCCATATCACTTAGTGTCTCTAACCATCAGATACGATCATCCCGAGAGTTTAACGGGGCCTATGTGATCTAGTCTCCTGGTGCTATCCCGTCCACGTTCCGCTTGTCTCATTGGGTGCATGAGGCTAACGGCCGATCCCGAAAAGCGGACCGAAAATCAACACACCAGCGAACTTCACAATTAATCGAAATTCAAAGGCCCTCTAGAAGTTCCCACACGTTCACGCTCCCGCGTTTGATTTACGCTCCATTGCCTTGTGGGTCAGACTTTTGAGTTGAAGGCTCCGATTAATGTTCCCAAAGAAAAAACCCTTCTTCAGTGTGGGCTGTCGCGAAGTGTGCCGTGCCCTAAAGTTTTAGGTACCCATTTGGAAACCCATATTTCCCGTCTATGTAGTCCTTCTCAATCCCAAATAATTCCAAGTGCCATAATCTCCGAAGGGTAGGAACTCTTCTGTTGATATAAAGCAGAGCGAAGGGCAGGCGAAAGATGAGAAGAAAAGTGGACAACGAGCGCGTTAGAGACTTGCTAACCACAAGGCGAATTTTTCGGCTCTGGTATCACACTGTTGTTCTTTGCTGAAGATCACTTGTTCATTCGCACCACAGATATTTCCTAACTGTCAAGTTCCATGACTTGTGTTGGAGAAGTGGATGGCACAGGGTCGCATAAGAACCTTTCAACACGCTCAGTCAGAGTACAATCTTGGTTAGTCTTGATCAATGGTTTATCATACTTAAGGTTTGTAGGTGTGCTGAATGGATTTTGAATAGTCGTCGGTCGGTTGTACATAGGCGGATTAAGCAATGCAATTTGCTCTGATTACTCAGTTAAGTGAAGTTTGAATGAAGGTCAACTGCACTCAGTGCTCTTTTTCTACTAACAACCATGTATCTCTTAAGGCAATTGGACTGTATCCATAACGTCTCGAGACCTTTGAATGATAGATGATTTTTTTTTATTTCACTGGGACGAGGAGTTTAGCAAATATGGTTGAATTCACAGAGCCACATTCAAAGAAAAAACTACGGGTGAAGACCGAATAGCTACAAGGCAAACCGGTGGTACTGTTTTTTCACCAAAGTACTCGGTAATGAGTGGAGATGAAATTGTCTTGTTTTGTGTCATGTTAGTTGTTGAACCAAAACTTTATACTGCCTTTAATGCTGTCTAAACTATATCACCACATATCAACGAAAACTTGGAGGTGAAAATGCTACTTCTGCTTCTCAATTTCTTTTCTTAGGAATTGTTTCCAAAGGCTGCAATATCAGACTATTTGGAGATTTCCGACCATCCTGTAGATAATTTCGCTCGTGAACTAACTGCTTTAGAGGATCTGGATAATTTTGTCAAGTGAGTCAAATTTTCACATTCGTAAAGAATTTGAGCTAATGGTATTGAAGCACTTTCCTAAAATTTCACAAGGAATTTAGTTCAACGTTGAAGTGTTTTGTTTTTTGTTGGAATTTGTAAGTCGAGAACTAGTTTGATAATCCTCACTCCGGGTTTTCACTAGAGAAGCCCAATTTTAGTAGATAGGAAGTCATAGGCTGGACAGTACAATGTTGGACTTTATAATTCATTACGATATCAACTACACGCACGCACAGTGATCGTTTGCCTGCTAAATCTATCGCTTAAACTTCAATCATTTTAGCACTAACCAATCAAAACCTTCGCAATAGGGTTGTTTGGTGAAAGTTCGTGAGTGTCCATTAGCTTGGTTGTTGGTTGTTGAGTGACTTGGCATTACTTGAAAATTCCTGATTGATCAGTTGTTCTCCGTATTCACTTCAAGGGGGGGGAATACGGCAGGTATCGTTTTTCGGCGGAGATCGATCAATCTGGTGTCAATTTTTTTTGTTGGCAAATTAGTTCTTTTTGACTGTCTGATTCGCACTGATTGTCCTTTGTAACAGTTTCAGTTCGCACAACCATTAACCATAAGCTTTTGTGCGGCGGTTTTCGTTGCTGTCTTTTGGCTATCCATTTGAATGAAGCAGTAGGAGAAAGACAGGAAATTTAAAAGTAGATTCGAGGGGAAAATGGAGAATTTCAGTGGACTAAAGTTGCAAATAAATTGGGAAAATGCACGAGCGACACTGTTTACGACACTTGTTGCTTGATAGGAACAATCGGTGATCCGTGCATAGTTCAAGTAGGCGATCCGCGTTGTTCGTCCGGTTGCCTGGGATTATACATGGTCCACCAAGAAGCCTTTCCGATTCGGCCAGGGATCCCACTTGAGCATTGAAGTCTCCAGCAACTACTATAATGTCCTTTGACCGAGTACTTAGGAGCAGTTGAGCGAGATCCTTGTATAATTCATCCTCCATTTTTGGCGAGCTGCAATCGGTTGGTGCATACACGGCAAATAAGCATCGAAGCTTCTTTCCGTAGCTATTAATCCATCTTGAACATTTGAGACATACGGCACCCAGTCGGATACTGACTGGAATCCAGTGAAGAAGGGAGCGTTCTGTCTTGGCACTTAGCGCGATCCCAACACCGGAAGCTTCGGATGCCGAATCGCTCGAAACTCGGAGAATGAAGTTTGAGGATGTGGTCGTATCTTGAGATTGTAGGGTGATCACTGAAGTAGGGTGTTAAATGCGTGCTTCGGAAACATAAAATACATTCAAACTGAATATTGCATTGGTTCTACCTAAGAAGGCTCGTTGACCGATCTGGTGTAGTTTTCGGATGTTGAACGAGTGAAGTGACAAGGGAATTTTTCTTTCAAAAATTCTACAAATTCTGATTGTTTGTCTTATTGGGAAAAAATGGGTGATATCCAAAGGGATAGGTAGACAGAAAGCATCTGGGATTACTCTGGATTGAGAGGAAAAACCAGGCAGATTAGAAAGTTTTTCCAAATAGGTGCAAAGGCCACGACATATTTCGCCAATCTAGCGGGGTTTTCTTGACCGGTTCACTGTCCATCCGAGTATTAATTTGCTGTAGTGACTTCTACTGGGGCAAGACGGGTTAGACAAAAGAAGCCAGGAGGAGCCCAAACAGCTGACCTTTTGAGACTGATTTTCGTCTGGCCACTACCCATTGACCTTTCATGCATGATTGGATCTGCGGCTGTGGGGAGCCATCCCTGTATAGCTCGCAGGGTCAATGGGGCACGCAAGCCATCACACCACGNCACGTGAAGGTTCAGTCTCGTCGTGATGGCCCTTTGTATCACATGTCAATGTATCGATTGACAGAGCTTTCAGACGAATACCGCTCTTTGAAACACTCCGTTAATTTTCCCGTACATGCCTAATGGCCGATTTCCATCAGTGGTCTTACTTGAAAGAGTACGTACTGCAATATGCCTCTTGGTGGCAAACTGTTCCTCACGAGTTCACGTTGCCACTTTCTTTCCAACCTGACCGACGTGATTCTCGTCGTAAACGTTGATTTGGTAACTGGTGTTTCTCAGATTTATATCTTCCAGTTAATCTTTTTTAGATTTATTCTTATGTGAAAAACAACGTAGGTTGGTTATGACCCTAATATTTTCCTGATCTCTATGTTATCCTAGTGTTGTGAGGCACTACTCACATTTGTGAGTAGTATGGAAAATAGGTTGTGATTCCTTTCAACGATCGAAAATTAAGAAGACCACCGACGACAAATTGCTATATCGCAAATAATGACTATCGATTGCTACATTCACTAACCGTTGTGCGGCCTGGAACTGCGATGGTATGTTTCTGATGAGATTTCTGTGTTATGTACGCCAAATTAGTGATGTCACATCTGTAATCCTCAATAAACAACTATTCTCGACCGAATTATAACGCTAGTAATTGTTCGCAGTTGCAGTCTGGCAAATCTTACTAGCTGCTTCCAGCACACATGAAGTCTATTTGATTCATGCAGACTGCATGATAGTACTGAGGACACCATACCGATTGCTAGGCGTTGCCATCCCAACTATGAAGCGAAGCGAAGTGTTTCCGACTGTTGCCATTGGCATTGTAGATAGAATTCAGCGGTCAATCGGGGGATTACAGTGAAATTTTTCTTTAGTCGCTAAGTAAGTTCAGATTCAATATTACTGTTCAGGTGAATATTCAGCTATGAGTTACCCAACAGATAAAAAAGGAAGAGGCAATCAATGCACAACGAGTAGGCAGTTAACTATACAAATCGAGACAATTCCTGTTCGGGTGACAGTAAAGGAGTGAGATAAGGAACTATGAAGGAGTTTTATGCTTCCTCACGTGCTTGAAGCTGGAAGGAGTAGAAAAAATTGAAATGTATTTAGATTAAGAGGGGAATAGTGGGCAGTCAGCATCTTGTGAGCAAGTTTATCACTAAATTTGATGTATTGGGAGACATTGTGATGAGTTTTGGCTGCTGTCTTTTGGCTGACCATTTGGATAAAGAGTAGGAGAAGAAAGGAAAGTTGAAAGTGAAGTCGAACAGAAAATGGAGGAGTTCAGTGGTCTAAGGTTGAAATTGAGAAGATGCACGAACGCCACTGGTTGCGACACCCAGCCATATCGCTCAGTGTCTCTAACCATCGGTTACGATCATCCCGAGGTCTCCAGCCAGGGAGCCTAACAGGACCTATGTGGCCCAGTTTCCTGGTTAGGGTTTTCATACCCTCGGGCCAGGTCTTAGCTTGACCACCCTTGGCTTTTTTCCACTCGGTGTCTGTTTCGGCGAACATCGCTCGCCGTGGTAACCTACCTGGTGACATGCATAACACATGTCTCAACCAGCGTAATCTATGGAGGTCGACCACTTGCTCCAGTGGGCGACCGTATTTACCCAAAACTCTGCGGCTAACCTCAGCATTGCTCATCCGGCTACCCCACCAGATTCGTGCAATGCTGCGTAGACAGCGGTGTTCAAACACCGACAGTTTATCTTTATCATGTTTTCTTAATGGTCAAGTTTCTGCACCGTATGGCAGGACTGGCCGAACTGTCGCGGCATACACTCGACCCTTCACAGACAGTCGGATTTAGTTAAAGAGTAGATAAGTCTGCGTTAAGAAATGCCTAAAAGTTTGTCGCAATAGTCATTTCTCCGCCTTTCAACATTTTAAGGGTTGAATTGTCGCCTTCGAAGCTTATGATTTCGAAAATGGGCGAAAAAGTTGTGATTATAGAAACTTAAAACCTCGAGAGGGATTTCAATGGGAACTTGATTAGATAATTCAGTGGAGGAACTACAGAAAACTAAGAACACGCTGAGATTTGCTAAAAAAGCAGATCCGGAGTGGTACTGATCCTAATATGGAAAGTTATATAATATTGTCAATTATCATGTTGTATCCGAGCCCCATTGTGAAGTATGCTTTTCAATGCTGAATTTTAAAGGCGCCCGCGTTTGGTTAAGGAAAAACGATGAATTTCAAAGGAACCACCTTCTCAACGGAATTTATCTACCAGACTATTTAAGGCCTAGGTCGAACCCATTTACGAAATTAATTGTGTCCAATTTATCGGTTCACCTTAACATGTCTCACTTTCATACCGAACTGACTGGGAGAAGTTACCTCGGAGTTCGTTCGTTCTCGTCTAAGGCATGTTTCTGATGAGCTTTTCGTGTTATGCATGCAAAATTAGTGACCTTCAATCCGTATTCTGCAATAAAGAACTCTCCTCAACCAGCACCGCCTTTTCGGAATATAACACAAGGACCTCTCTCTGCTGCTCCAAAGTACTCGGTAAACGGACATTGGTAGTCGCTGGAGACTGCAATGCTCAAGTGGAATCCCTGGACGAATCAGAAAGGCTAATTGCTGGTTCACATGCAATCCCAGTGAACTGGACTGACAACGGCGAACGCCCACTTCACGTTTGTGCTGACTACGGACTGTTTCTATCAAGCACCAACTTCTCGCGCAAGAAACGACCCCGCCTTACCTGAAAACCGCGTCTCTCGTCACAGCGACAAACCCAAGTCGACCACATCGCCATCAGTTACCGCTGGNTGGAGATGTTCAGTTCAAGACTGCCTATCTAACTGGTCAACACCCGTGGACACGGACCATGTTCTGCCCGAGTTCACCACAGAAAGTGGTGTTCGTTAGCGTTGCCCTCTTTATTTCCCTTTTTATTTAACTTTGTTATAGATTTGGTTATGGAAACAACCCTATCCTCGTGCGAAGATAGTGGCATCGATTTCCTTCCGGATAGCAGACTGTTTGATCTGAAGTATGCAGACGACATTACGCTGCTACGTGAAGACCCAGGTATGTTGCAAGCCTTTCCGGATAGCTTGAATACCAGTGTCGCCATGTTTGGTATGCGTTTTTCTCCTTCAAAGTGTAAAATGTTGCTACAATATTGGGTTGGTCCAGTTCCCAACCCAACCCTGACCGGGTAAGTAGTAGAGGAAGTAGACAAATTTTGCTATTTGGAAAGCCATATCTCACCTGGTGGACACATCACAGATGAATTGTCGGCGCGCATACAGAAGGCTCGGTTGGCATTCGCCAACTTGAGACATCTGTGGCGGTGTCGCGACATCCGGCTGTCTGTGAAGGGTTGAGTATATGCCGCAGCTGTTCGGCCAGTTCTGCTTTCCGGTGCAGAAACTTAGCCTTTACAGAATAGGATAAAACTGGATTGTCGGTGTTCGGACATCGCTATCTACGTCCCATTGCATGAGTCTAGTGGGGAAACCGGACGAGCAATTCTGAGCTTAGGCGTAGAGTTTTAGGTAATCGAGGTCGTCCACTGGAGCAAGTGGTGGATCTTCGTAGATTACGCTTCTTCGGTCATGTGCTGCGCATGTCATGAAATAGGTTGCCACGGCGAGCGTTGTTTGCCGAGATAGGTAGCGGTTGGAAAAAGACCAAGTGGAAGTCAAACTAAGACCTATAAGGGTATGAAAATCGAAACCAGTAGACTGGATCACAAAGGTTCCGTTAGGCTCCCTGGCTGGGGATCCCGAGATCATGGTCACCGATGGTTAGGGGCACTAATCGCTTTGTCGCAAACAGTGACGCTCATGCACCTACGCTTTGTTTTTGTAATTTGTATAAATGCACTATCTTCCACTTGAATCTCCCGTCAACATTCTAATCTTTATTCTGCTGTGTTATCCAAATTGGCACCCAAAACCGGCCCACGATAGTATATGGGTAATGGTTGTAAGAACTGAACTGAACTCATCTGATAGGACTCTTACAAAATCCACCTGATATGCTGTCTTTTTAGAAAGATAACCAACAACTTAAAATGGGTCAGCATTGAGTGATCATATTTTGCTGTGAGTAAGCGACCTAACAGAACTTTCGTATAACTTTTTTCAGTTCAATCTGGCGCGTTGTTGAGCAATGTCAAACAAGCCAAATTGCCCACAATCTCTTTTTGGCTCGTGGTCGAACTAGCGGACTTTTACGTGCAATACTTTGGCCCCGTCGTTCTGTTTACACCGCGAAGTCCCTCAGTCCACTTGATTCGGTGGCTATGACAAATGGAGACAGTTACAACATAGCGGTAGCTGAATTGGCTGGTATGTTCGTCGTAGCTGGTGACGAAGTGGCCGAACAACTGGTGCAACATGGCGGCCTGTTCAAAGCGCTGAAGCACGAACGACTGTCTTCAGATGTGATCAATCATCTGATAGCTAGCCTATCCAGAGATAAAATGCAATAAAGAATTTTTGTTTTTTCAGTCATGGTCTTTATTCGAACACCTGCTTTGTTCTTCTTTCACTTCAGTCAGATAGTATCATACTGTAATTGCCAGAGCTCATATACATATACATAGTTCGTATTTCGCCTCGTTTGTATAATTTTAAATGTGGGAAATGCACATACTGGGTCGCTCGCTGTCGATGACTAACAGGTTTAGCTAGCAATCGATTATGCAAAGCCTAAAATGTTGTCTGCTTATTCTACATGCAACACCGATAAAAGCGAGGATCCGTAAATGTAGCCCGACCCATGCTTGCCGTCTCGCTCGTGATTTGACAATGTTGCTCATATTCACGGTGAAAACGTACTTTTGTTGTTGGCGAGCTGGGAGATTTGCATTGCATCTGTTGGGTTTCCCACTTTACAAGGTTGATATCATTCCAATCAACAGTTTCCTCTAAATAATTAGTCTCATTCGACATCTGTTCTATCCAAATGAGCTTGCATGCTGCCGCGGGACAATGCGGAAATCAAGTATGATAGTTGTTCGACGTCATTGAATATTACCATAGCATGAGTACTGTTGTGCGGTTTTTCACTACCTGTACAGCACCACGGATTCATTTTGTGAGTTCGTTGAAGCTCCATATAAGCACTTCCAGATACCCCCAAACTTTACTGTTGTGGCGATTAGGTATGATGCGTAGCATGAGGAATCTATGCATGGGCTATAGACCAACAGCTTAGCGAATACAAGACAAATCTGAAGTAAATAGTCCTTGTCAAAAAGTGTGACTCGAAACGTATGACGTGGTACTCCAAACATATGTCGTCATTCTAAAAAGGCTTAATCTGCATGGAGACCGCAGAATCTGGTGGAATTAACACGCATCAGAGATGGAACCTATTGCCTCCGTGGGAAATTCCCGCAAGCTTTCCCATCTCATCCGGGTTACCGGGAGGAAAGCTTTGGGTGAGTAAAACGATCTGATAAGCTGACGGCTGACCAATTCACAACCAACAGTCTTCGACGCTGGTCGGAGCATCTCAGGGATCAGTTTAACTGGCCACCAGCGTCAGCTTCCCTTGGTCTGCCTCAACGGACCCACTATCTGGGGCGGAAATCCACAAGGAGATCTAAGCCGGGCTCCGATGGCCTTCTATCAGCTCTATTTAAAGATGATGAAATAAAGCTTGTAAGAGAATTAACGGTTTTATTTAAAGTTCAGAACACTGCAGGGAATGAATCGATTGTCCACTCCATCTTGATAAAGAGCCCGGGCATTGACTGCGCTGATCATAGGTGTAGTCAAATCAAGCATTTGCTTTATGCATTCCGAAAGGTGAGTGTCCAGTGGCTACATATTCAAATTAGAACAATAATCAATTAAAATTACACCAGATTTATGAAAAGCAAGGACAAAACAATTTACCATAGGAGTGAGTTTACCTCAGAAATGATGCGCTCTGAGTTAATTAAGGAGGGCACCACGGAAGACCGATAGGCGGTTTTGAGAACCAATATACAGTTATAGCGGGACCGAGTGAAAGAAGACAACACTTCTTAAGATCAGCTTGTAACAGGTGCGAAGGGTTGCTTATGATTTTTGTGGATAACAAAAGAGTCGGTGAGCGAACAATTGTTTTCGGACATTCCTAGTCATGCTCTTACATATCCGGAATGTAGACGAATTCCAACCGCATCTGCGGTGGTTAGGATGCGATTTTTAATCGGCTTTGATCTGAGACCCCCGAACATAATAGAGATGCCGAAATGCTTCAGTCACACTCACTGTGTGATCGGAATCGACTGTGTGAAACGATGTTACTTGTAATGGTTTTAATCACACCAGTGTTCAGCCAGGCCGGATGATGTTCCCGAACTGGTATAGGTAGGTGCCTGCTTGTGCGGCCGATATACGTTGCTCCACAGGAACACTTACACTGGTACACACAAAATGAGACTGCAGAAGCAGGAATCCTGTCTTTGAGTTGCGAACACAAAATCAGTCTGGACGTGAATACGATACGTAATTTAGCCGCATGAAAAGTATCCCCCAACGCAGTTCCTAGTTTGCGGCTAACCAATTCTGTGATTGTATGCCCTTTGAATGGGAGAGAAATGTATACTAGCTTCTTCTTTGTGCTTAAAAGTCTCCCTCGGACGGTAAGTTCGCAAACCGTTCCGTTTTATCCTTCTCTCCAGTCATCTTGAACTTTGCGCTGTCACTATGTTATTCATCTTGGAAACGTACTCTGATCTGTTCAGTATGAAAACTCCTGTACCCTTGTCTGGTCTGGTCTGCAGAAAGCGATTAGATCCTGCGAACCCCATTAGTGAGTACTCGACCAATCCTGAGAAATATGTCCATAATTTTTCCTCTATTAGGTTGGACAAATTGTTGCTCGAAGTTGTCTCTAGGACCTCAGTTTTGTTGTCCAATCGTAAGAACTGAACAACTGGATCTAGAAGTAGAGTTCGAAAACCTTTTCTCACAACTGTCAGATTTCTCGCCTTCTTCATCGCAAAATGTGTCTCAGCTGAAATCCACACTAGTGAGCACATGCTATTATCTTCTCGGTAGTAAACCGACGATCAAAGGTCTAGTGACATCATAACACCGAGAACGGTTAAAGGGATTGAGGATTAATCATGATATGATTTCTGCACAAACCAGACAAGGGTACAGGAGTTGTCATACTGAACAGATCAGAGTACGTTTCCAAGATGAATAACAAAGTGACAGCACAAAGTTCAAGAAGATGACTGGAGAAAAGGATAAAACGGAACAGAT